ACTGTTTCCTGATGATTTAAAGATCAGACAGTTAAGTGGAAAAAAAGTCACCACATTAAACAATCGTAAACATGTTACATTAGTTGCAGCATTGCTTTGAGTTCGGGTTACAAAGCAAAGATGTTTTCTGATAAATCCTAACCAAATGTCATAGAGTAGTTTTGCTAGCATTACACCGTATGATCAGAAATGTTCTTTGTGTTTGTTTGTTTTTTTAAGGGATCAGATGAGATGCGCAAAATCCCAGTTCCAGCTCACAGATACACACCGCTGAAAGATAACTGGCTGAAGATTTTCACTCCTATTGTAGAGAACCTACAACTTCAAGTTAGATTCAACCTCAAAACAAGGAATGTTGAAATCAAGGTAAGCTTCTCCTGTTCATGTAGACTTCGGTGATTTGGTGAGCCTATTTATTACAATGCTTATATACAGTATTTCATCTCTGATATGACTAATATGCCTTCTTTTTTTCAGACATGTAAAGAAACACAGGACATCACCTCACTCCAAAGAGCAGCTGATTTTGTTAAAGCATTTGTTCTTGGATTTCAGGTTGAAGTAAGTACATGAGTTTTCTGCATGTTTTAATTCTGCCTGACTGCTTTTGTACTGAATGTGTATTTGTCAAGCCAAAAGTCAAGTTTTGGCACAGTGGTAGAGACACTTGACTGACACTTACTTCAGCTCAGTGTAGTTAAATAATCTATTGTTAATACAATAAAAGTTTCCTCCCTGTCAGTAGCCTCCATAAAGTGACTTGTAGTTGTTTTTGCTTTGTCTAAATGTGTAAATTATCTTTAGAAGCTGTCACAGTATTTTATTGTTAATTTTGAGCCTTGCTGGATTGTCACTCGTGATGTAACATTCACACTCTCTCCCCTCAGGATGCTCTGGCTCTCATTAGATTAGATGAGCTCTTCCTTGAAAGCTTTGATGTCACAGACGGTGAGTTTCCACCTCCGTAGCACTTGTGGCTGCTGTTAGAGTCGTCATAATTTCTTACCAGTTCTCTTTCCCTGCTGCATGAAGAATACAATGTTCAACCTCTCGAGATCTATTTAATTGTTCTCCCATGTTTTGGCAGTGAAACCTCTGAAGGGAGACCACTTATCCAGAGCTATTGGAAGAATAGCAGGGAAGGGAGGAAAAACCAAATTCACCATTGAAAATGTCACAAAGACTCGCATTGTGCTTGCAGACACGTGAGTAAATCCACTATTTTGATATGCTACAGTAAAATTACTAATTAATTTTTCACATCATTTGCTTCTTAATCCCTCATTAATTTTCATTAGCCACCTTTTTGAAGTTGATACGGTTTCACTGCAGCATTAATCAAACATTTAGATTGGGATTTTTTCTCTTGCATTGTTTTAGTCATAAGTATTGGAGTTCAATACAGATCTTGCAAAGAAACTCTGTAAAGAAGAGCTTTACTTCTTTGGGATTAAACTTAAAAAAATAAAATAAACTGGCCTGATTTGGTTTGTTAATAAGTGCATAAACATACTATCATATATTACTTACTAACAGTATTTCACACACAAATGCTATTTTCCTCTTCACGCAGACGTTTTTGTGGGTACTCTAAAGACAATATAAACAACCTTTCGCATACATCCATACCTGCAGTATGTTTTCTAGTTATGTGCCGTGTATTCATTGTTCATTGAAACTGCGAACACTCTGCTTTGTCTGTCTACAGAAAAGTTCACGTATTAGGATCTTTCCAGAATATCAAGATGGCCCGGACAGCGATATGCAACTTGATCTTAGGTAAGACGAGCATTGTTTTTATAGCACAGTATATCATGTGGTTGATGCTATTGAGGTGGTGCTTTATTGGATGAGCTGGTTGGACACTCTGCTGTCTCAAATACCGTTACTCCTGGAGAAGTACAAGTACTAATTTATTCACTTTGAGGTACTCATTTAAACATTGAAATTTAGATTATAAGACTCCCCTGTGAATCCTTTTATGGATTTCAATTTTGATATATACTTAAATGCAGCAGTAAAAGTGCCTAAATTAAAAGAGGCTAGGCAATCAAGCATTGGAATGAAGCCATTTTTCTGAATCAGGTGTTTAAAAAGACCTGTTATAACACTTAATGTTTTCCGTAAGGAGTGCAAAAATCGAATTTCTTACTTTTTTTTTTTTATAAGCTGAGTCCGCTTAAAGAAAAACCCTAAAACATTGAACAAACAGTTTAGCCAACTCCTGAACAAACCTATTTAACTGCTGTGCAGCCTTTTCCAGTGTTCAGAGCATCAGTCACCTGACAGCAAATCCATCGAATCTAGCACTAACCATATTTGGAATTGAACTCTTTGTTTACACATTAGTGCTGAGAAGTGACCTTTAAATCCCTTTTGCCCCTACAGGAAGTCCACCTTCAAAGGTCTATGGCAACATCAGAGTGGTGGCTAGCAGGACTGCAGAGAGATTCTAAACCTGAAGCCTGATTGGTTACCATATGTATTTCTCTTCCCCTATTGGCTGGTGGAATTCCTATGTGGGATCTGTGTTGAGACAGTCACTGCCCTTTGGACTAATACCTCGGGTTCGTCTGTAATCTCGTGGTTTCTGAATCAGCTGGTATCAAATATGATTAATAAAATTATGATACGTGCATTAAGGGAATATGGATATCTGAAAGTACGTGTTTGTGCAAATGTGTTTAAAAAAAAAAAAACTAAACGAAGCATGTGTGTACTCTTCTTTCCTGGTGAATGAAGATACAAGTCTAGTCAGTCACATCTTGGTCAGGTTTAAAATAATAATAATAATTAAAAAAAAGGACAGTCAAATAGAATACTTTCAACATTTCAAAGTTTATTTAAATTTTATTTTTCATACAGTATCAAGTTTCCAACAGTCCCACAGCATAAGATGCAGCATGCAGAAAAAGGAAAAAAAAAGGTTCTCAAACTTAAATCTTCTCATATCCCCACACAAACTAAAAAGAACCCAAGTCCCTCAGAGAAAAGTAGCACTTACAAACTAAAGCGCGGTCTGAACTATACAGAGAACAGAGAGCCAGAACTGCATTTAACAAATACTTATATACAAAAGGAAAAAAAAAAAAAAAACATCAAATTTTCCCCTTTAAGCTGAGTACAGTGTGTGGCAGTTTGAGACAGGATCAGATATGCAACTTTTACTGGAATCGAAGCATCTCGCTGACCCGGGTAAAATACAAAAAGTTACATGTAGTTCAGTTCAGTTGGATTACCTCTCATAATATGTGTACATTTACCAAAGTTTGGCAACATCCATATTGTATACCATTAAATTCTTAAATATATTAACATCACCATCCATGTGTAAACAAGAGGATTATTTCAAAAAATTGATCTACATGCACAACAAAAAATATACTTCCATGTCATGCAAGCACAGGGAGGCCCAAGCCGTGCAGAGCTTTGGGATAGGGGAAAAATAGAGCACTCCAGATGCACATCTCTTGACTGAAAACTGTTGTTCAAACCAGCAGTTGACCTCCAAAAGCAAAACCAAAGCTATCCCAATGCTGTTTGCAGTAGGAAGCATTTTCCCTAGAAAATAAAAATCTGGCTGAAGTTATGTTTTTTCTCCCTGTTAGTAGGTCAGAGGGTGAGAAAATGAATTGATTGTGACAGAAAAAAAAGTGGGAGAAGAAGCCAACTTTTGAAATGTACACGTTCAAAGAAAAAAAACAAAAAACTACAATTTACAGTCTACCCATTGCACACTCGTTATGCCAACATGTTAAGATTTTAAGTGTTTGTGTTGCGCTGAAGAAAACTGACCCATCCTGTGCTGTACTGAGACGTATTCAGAAGGGCTCATTGTTAAGCAGAGGCAAAGCCATCTCCACTTACGGTTAAATAAGCTGAGCACACTTTGATTACCTAATATACACATACTGGTTAACAAAAACAAAAACAAAACAAAAAAAAAACACGCTGCCTGCAGATAAGTCTCTTAAATTGCTATGTCCTTGCACAAATTGTAATCTCACCATTATTCACTCTCAGTTCTAAGCCAAGTCCGTCCAGCCTCTGTTCCTAACATTAAAGTCTTGAAATACTAATGATTCCACCATCATTCATTAGTCAGTGTGAGTGCAGAGCTAATCTTTGCATTGGAGATTGTCTTAAAGATGCACACTGCTCTATGCAAAATGCTTCACAAGAGTAAACCATGTATCAGTTTGCAGCCACAAATTATTTTTCAAAAGACATTTTCTTGGCATTAATTTTTCTATCTATAATTTTATAACAGGAAACAACGATTATCTCCAACAATATAAACACATTCTTAAGTATAAATAAAACTACCACTCTTAATACAAAAAAAGAAAGGAAAATAAAACTGGAGTTGCTTTCCTAGGAGTGACTGGAAGCTTTACCGGTCTGCAAAACTGCGTGCGTAAGCTAAAATGGAGAAAACAAAAAAATAAAAAAAAATTATTTTGATTTGCTTCTAATATGACTCGTAGTCGAGCAGTTGGAAGCGTCACGAGCCCATTTGTCTGGCATGAATGACTGCTGTGATGATGGGTAATAACTTGGACTGGTTTTCTGGATATGTTCTGGTTGGCACTTCATACCCTACACTTTCTAGTTGTGCTGCAAGTCAAGTGTTAATACACTACACACTTCCCCTCACGAGACAACCATAGATATACTTGTATTTTTTTTCTTCTTTATAAAAAACAAGAACAAAAAATAAATATCAAAAATAACAATTAACAAAAAGAAAAAAAGAAAATGAAAGGATGAAATATGAACAAGCCAACCAGCCTCTTCACCGCATCCCCTTCTCCCCCCTTCCTCCCCCCCTCATCCAAAACCGGAGATGCTCTTGCGAGTTACAAATAGATGTCCTTCAGTCTCTTAAAGTGCTACGACCGGGTTATTGAGAGGATTTACAGTTCAATAACACTTCAAAGTTGGCTTCACGAGGCCTGTGTTTTGTTTTGTTTTTTCTCAAAAAGAAAAAGTGGCTTCACAGAGAGAGAGAGAAAGAGAGAGAAAAGAAAGAAAAAAAAGAGAGAAAGAGAGCGAATACTTCCATTGATTTACACAGAGAGCGTTTTGCCGGACGTCTTGAGCAGATCTTCAGAGATGGTGGAGAAAGCGAGAGTCGAGGACAAAGGGGGGGGATTCAGCAAGCGGAGAGCGCTCACACATCCACCACCATCTTTTTGTGTATATCGAGGCCACCAACCACCTGGATGAAAGTGCGAAAGGAAGGAATAGAAAAGAAAATCTTTAATAGAGTGCTGTTAGCGCTGTGGAGGTAAGCATTAAAGTTCACATAGTTTAGTTTTCTTTATAAAGTGCCAATTCACAACAACAGCACCCGAGCTTTTATATTTATATGCAAAATTTATGAATAAATTTTGATATGTGCTACGTTCAACAGTAAAAAGCCAAAAGTATTAGAGAAGAAGCTAACAATCAATCAATCATCTCTGATGAACAACATGTGGCAAGAGTGGAAAGGAAGAACTCCCTTTTACCAGGAAGAGACCTGCAACAGAATCCGTCTCAGGTTAAGGCACCCATGCCCAACCAAGACGGCCCCTTAAAAACATTTTGACCTGCACAATAGAAGAACACCAATGTTTGGTACTGCTATTTTTAAAAAGTTGTCATCTTTTTATTACTGCCATTAAAAGGAAACCTGTTATGACCTTATATACTGAGAAAACAACTCAGTGTATTTTTAACTGACTAAAAATAAACATGTTGGTTCAGAGGGTAAACAGATTACTGTACATTACCTGTGAATATACGGCCTTCACCTCATTGTAAAGTGATTTCATATTGGTAACGTTTCATTCACCACATAACCATCAACAAGCATGTCAGTTTCACTATGAGTGACCGCATCAACTACAAGTTCTCGCTGTAACACTGCTGTGGAAATGCCGAAATGTAACAATGGGATCAACGGCATCCTGAGAAAATCTACTAAATTTATTCTCTTATTTTTACACACTTTCTCTTCCGTTGTTACTTTTACACAACAGTGTTGCTAATACTACAAAGCAAGAATAAAATCATGTCATGGAGCCTTTTCCTTGAACCTTGAAGTGTTTGAGCTGCACTGCTTCAGTAAGAAAAAAAAACAAAAAAACTGATCTAATACTCTCCTGCACCACTCTGAAAATACACTCCCACGAGGACAGAGCCATTTTAGTTCATGGCTCCAGAGATATAGCTGTCAAATGTGGGGCTCATGTCTGTCAGTTGGAAGTGGAGTCTTTCATTTTAGAATATGTCTCAGAGCAAAGCCATTTCCACTGCGGTCCGACAACAGACGAGTCTGTGTATCACACTTTTCAACAAGATGACACTAATTGTATTGCGAGAACTTCATTTGCGTCTGTGATCTTAAATTAGATAATTACAGCCACATACTTTCTAGTTAGTTTATGCATATCAGTACGACAGCAATGAGAATATTGATCTGGGTCAGCGCTTTTACAAACCAAATAACGCTCATCACTGCCGACCTTAAATTTGCTGGATGACAGATCCTCCTACAAATGCCGTAAGTACACACCAGGCTATGTTTACAGCCCTTGACACCACATTTCAACAAGGAAGTGTGAAACTGAAACCCAATGCCGTTGAGCCTAAGCAAAAAGTGTTTGTGTTTCCAGAGTTTTCCGCCCCTTTGACATTTGCTTCCAACATACTAGGCTGCATCAGCACAAATGTCACCACCCCAAAATACCCCAGGAGGGCTTTGACTTACTGCACAGAACTCTTCAAAGGATATCCTGCCGTCTCCGTCCTTGTCTGCATTGATAATGGTCTTGTCCACGATCTGCTGGAGCTGCGTGTCCTTCAGGTTGTTGCCTACCATCATCTTCAGAACCTGGAAGAGCTCGCCATTGGAGATGTAGCCATCCTTGTCCATGTCATAGATCCTAAAAGCAACTGTGGTGCAGGGAGTGGCATGGGGAGGGGAGGGAGCAGAAGCACAGGTAGTTGGAAGTCTAAACCAATCAGCCTTTATTATATATAGTCTTTAACTCTTCTTTAATATTTAAATGGTTGTTTTTTTTCCCTTTAAAAAAAAAAAAGAAAACTTGACTAGCTCATGAAAGGTGACCCAAAAGGTTAACACTGTGCACTATAAAGGACATACTACCCCAAGGGAATTTGTGTTGCAGCAGCAAGGTGACGTGAGACAAACAGAAGAGGGGAGTCACAGGGGACAAAGCCCCTGACTGGTTTTACTCCCAAAGCAACAAAACAAATGGATGTGCTTGAGGATAAGAAACTTGTTCTACTACCCATGGCTACATGTGACTTAAGCGAAGAAGCAGCTTTACTTACATCGAAGCTTCTGCTCTTTGTCTCCCTTAACGCTGAACTGTGAGACACCCTCGATAAACTCTGTGAGAAAAGAGAACAGAACAGCAATCAGTGCTGTAGGTTTACAGCTAAACCAGGCTTCCCACACAGTCCTGACTTCAACATGGCATTTTAGAAACATCTCGATTTTATGGAATTTGCTCTTTAAATAGTATATTAAGAAAAACTTACACAATACAGAAGCATAACAACATCAAGTTTATTATCAAAACACAGAAGAGCTCATTTATAGACAAAGACATACACTGTTCTGAACTGTTCATTTGTTAAACTTGAACTTTATGATGATAATTCTTTTCATTAACTCTCTCTCTATATATGTTTTTTTTTCTTTTCTTGTGGAAAGTGTTACTACTGTACAGAAGAATGTCCAGGTTGCAAAGTCCACAGATATCGAACCTGGGCTATTTTTAAGCCTGCACTATGACTGAATTTCCAAGATAGTGGCACATTTGTAAACATGCAGACCAATAAAAGCAATCCTTATCTTTATGCAATAGGGGCAATTCCCCATCATGTGTGAATGACGTGTTCAGAATGTGGACTTTGTGCCCCATTGAAATGCAAATGACCTTAAAAGCAGGTGGCAGAATATTTTAATGGACTGGAAACAAAATAAAATAAATGGTTTTAGCATTGAAAACCAGCAACAGGTCTTATTAGTGGAACAAGATGCTGGATTCTACAAGACGGAGAGGAGCTGAATGAGCTTGTTGGATTCAAGGAACTTTATTCAGTCTTGTTTTGTTTTTGTTTTTTTAGATGTGGCACATAATATGGCACACATTGTAGTATTTCTTCAAAGAAATACTACAATATGTGCCATATTTGCAGTGGTATTACTCTTAGTTATTGTACTGGCTGACCCAAGCTATGTACTGTAGGCTATTTCGCACATATCTTTAGGAAGCCTGGATGCTACTGCTTTACATAATGGTGAAATATGAATAGTCACTATCAAAAATGAATTTGCAGCACATCTCCTCCTATGTTGTTGCTTTTTTTGGCTCACTGCACACCAGGCCTCCTGTAGCAGGCAGTATCTATTGATTCCATGTGTTTAGGTATGAGAGTAATACTTAAACCATGAGTAAACTAGAAGAATGAAAGCAAAGCAAACTTTAAGAACCAGGTTTGTTGCTGAAGTCACAAATGTGTAAAGACATTTTTTTTACTGTTAGTCAAATCCCCACAAGCAGACAGCTTCATTGCATACCTTTAAAGTCCACTTCTCCATTCCCATCCGTGTCGAATATGTCGATAACCCTTTGCACCAGTGGGTTCTGTTGCAGCTCTGGCAGCGACATGAACTCCTCCACGCTGAGTGAGCCAGAGTTATCTAGGTCGAGTTTCTTAAACCTCTTCCCTAGCCTCTTAATCTCATCAGCATCGACTGGACAAAAAGAAAAAGCAAGAGAAGACATGGGTGAGACATTGTCTTTCAAGACATTTAGCTGATGGCATTTTCTATCTTGTTAGATAATGAAAATTATGAGCAAACAACCACAAGTGTGCACGTGTCAAGTGCCTGACAGGCCCAAGTTCTATACAAGAGCATGAGGGAAAAAAAACAGCTAAAAAGTGACAATGACAAATGCATAGTGCACTGTGCACCTGCAACAACATTAGCCCAAGACTGAGCAAACAAAACCAAACAAAGAGCAATAAATCAAACACACAAAAACACTAAGTCAGAGGATATTTATGCTACCAAATAAATATCATTATAAATCTCCGCATGAAATGTAGTCATAGATTTTGATGGTCACCACTTGTAACTAGGTCAAGGACACTACTTCTAGCCTGCAGAGGCCTGGACTACCTGCTACTAGCTGCAGACCCACAGTAAGCATGGTACAATTTGTTCTGCTCTTTTCTAGCCATACCTGAAATAGATGCAACTACAAAACAAAGCTCCATTTGGTAGCAAACCTAACATGAAGCAAACTGCTCCTGCTCTGAAAACACTGCCATGGATGTAGATGTTTTTTAAAAAATGAGTAAAAGGCAGAGAAATGAGAGCTGACAAGAAAGAGTGGAGGAGGGAGTAACAGAGGAGTTATCAGAAGAGCGACACAGAGACGAGTACATAAATATAACTTACAGCCTTTGTTGTCTACTTGTGCTTTTTTATCATAAGGGGTCTGGTGGATCTTTTCTTCCCTTGCCATGAGAAATAGTCTCCACTCCCCGGCCAGTATACTGAGCAATGGTAGTAGTAATCCACAAGCAATCACAAATCCAGTTGTTAATTACTATATAAGCTCATTCACAGAGAGTCAGGTGATCATACTGGCCAACCACAAACTACTACTACTTTACCCACTTTAATATGAGTGCTAAATGGCACAGGGTGTCTATTAAACTTCACAAACAGCTAACAGAAGGAAGAGTCACAATCAAGAGGTGTGACAAAGGTTATGAACTTATTCTAGTCACGATCAGGTTTAATTTCCTCCACAAGGCCATCCAGTTTAGTTAAATGGCAAAGATAAGATCGACTTAGGAAGAACAAGCTTTGTGGTGGTAACTGTAAGGAGTTACAGTTGGAATTTCTTGTAATTCTTGATGTGAGCACAGTTAGTGAAATGCAAAAACCACTAAAGATACAACTGTCATCAGAAGAGTAAGAACCTGCATTCAAACTGACGCAATGTAGGGAACATACACATCTCATATTTTGGCTACGAAGCTCTAAATGCACATGCGAATGTCTGGATTCTTACAGGATGTTATCCTATTGTTCCGCTTTCTATTATACGATGCAAAGAGAGAGACGGAGAGAGACGGGTGTGGGTTGTGTTTTGGGTTTCAGAGCTCGAACACGCTGTGCTACATCAGCTCGATGACTAATCAGAGTGCGAGTGTGGTGGAGGAGTAGGGGAGGAATACAGGAGTGAGAGAAAGACAGATTGAGAAAGTTGGAAAGGACATGACCACAGCAGCAGCCACTGCTGGTTGCAAGCAAAGCTTTACGTGAAGAAAAACAATACACTGTTGAAATCCACTTTATAAATATTCTTTATGGGTCCCTGCAGCATGTGTATCTCATCATCATGATAAATGAAAAAATTCATCTAGACCAACACCGTGAGCCAATAAGTTTTGATTTAATGCTCCTCTATTGACCGTTAGTGATTCTGTGTTCTTTCTAATAATAAAGCACATGACAGTCACATGATCACGAATTGAATTTTTATAGCACCTTCAAGCCAATAAAATTCAAAGGGCACTGAGAGAACAGTAACAACATTGTATATTGTAAATGACTCAACTACAGAACTCTGTTCATTGGTCCTTGGAAATAAAATATAAAATCGCATGTCAAATTTCCCAGGAGACTAAAAATATGTACAAATCCATTCAAAGCACTTAGAATGTCTCCAAATAAAGGCCGTCTCCAAAGCACAGTGCAATATGCTTGCCATATGGTGTACTACAAAGCTGGAACAATAAGCAGATCAATTAATTAGTCAGTTGTGCCAATTAATCGTGAGCAATCTCATTACAGCTTTCAGCATCTTTACTATTACACTGCTAATAAACTATCCATGTGCTGTGTAAGTATGTGTACATTTAAATTAATGATGTCAAAGCCACTCTGATTTTCCCCTGTTTAACAAATCAAGACGTTAGTCTGCATCAAATATCCACGACATCTGAAAACCCAGATTTATTTCTAATGAGAGGTCAGCGGTTCACTTCACTTATATGTTCCCGATATGACAAATCTACACACAAGAACACATTCACAAGCTGATAAAGACCACAGGGTGTCTGTGTCTACCAGGCACGAGTTATCAGAGGCGAGCACACGGCTGTCCTGCGACACAAAACACTTCCTTATCAGCGGCCTCCTGTTTCCTGTGCCCAGCAGATGACACCATCTTAGCTCATAACCATTTAGCCCGTGAAGGGGTATCAATGCTACAAATAGGCACCATATTGTGTTAGTACGGTAAATCAAAGCCATGTTTGAGATAATCTGTCACACAGCCGG